AGCGACATTTCACTTTTGTTCACTTTGACGGACAGGTATTTAGAGGCTCCTGGCAAATGCCTATTTCCCTTCAAATACGTCAGCTTCTCAGAGATTTCAAGGAAAAATAAATATGCACGTGAGTGACCCAGCCATAATCTCCCGGGGTTTAAATCAGCTCTAAATTGCTCTAAGAATGAATGGAAAAATATGCAAGTTATAACAGGGAGATGTTAACCACCCGATTCCGTCTGTGATTTTTTTTTTCCTGATTGAAGATCAGGTTATACAGAACAACTGCAGTGTAACTGAAGCCCTTAGCCATGGGAAACACTTTTTTTTTTTGTTCCAGCTAACAAAATGAAGTCATTGCTTATAAAAACCAGCAAACATTTTGCAGGTGGGTTTCAGGAGTCTGACTGTCACCCCAAGAAAAGCAAAGCTGCCCTGGCTGCAGAGGTACCTGTGTAAAACAGCAGTGAGAGGCCCGCATTTTTAAAAACTTCCCTATCTCAACAGTTCATTTTGCAATGCCACCAAACTGCTCTTCATTTCCTTGCAACTTCCCCATGGCTCTGCTGGCAAACTGGACGCCAAACCTGGGATTCCCTGTAAACTTCATGGTCCCTTCCCATCCATTTCTGCCCTCACTGGTGCCACCACCCAGAGCTGTAGACCCTGGGACAGAGGAGACCACGGTGACACCAGGTTGCTGTCAATGCCTCTCTCCTGGTGCTCGCCCAGGGAAGGAATTTGGTAACAGCAACACATGCAGCATGTGGCATTTCCAGGGCCTGGAAAATGGGTGTGGGGCAGAGGGACACACACTGCTTCCCGCTTGCCCCAGCTGTGTGCTCAGAGGGGATTGGGAGGTTAAAGCAGCCAGAGATTCCCTTATTTGTACGGGAAATTTTAAAAGTAGTTGCTTTAATTAAGGGAAAAAAATATTCTGTACCAAAAAAAAAAATCCCTGCCACATGTTTAAATGAGTACAACTAAAAGTGGGGATTTGGAGGCGCTGTGAATTATTTCCCCCCTCCACAGCTGCAGCTTGGGGACATTTCCATCATTCCTCACCCCAGAGGACATCACCGCCTCTGCACAGAGATGGTGGCAGAGACAATGTCACCTCACGTCCCACTCACTGCCAGACACATGAGCAGGACCAGTGCAGCCCTGCAGAAGAGGCCAGCAACCTGCCCGAGGTGGTCAGTAAATCTGTCCAACCCTCCCCAGGTGCTTTGCTGGTTAAAGGACCCAAAACAGATTAAAAACTCCACATTCATCAATCCTTTACTGCTTTCTCTTGGGTATCTCCTGTATTTGAGTTCCATTATTGAACAAAAATTCTCAATTATCTCAGCACCCATCTCCAAAAAGTAAGGCACAGGTTTCACCTTTAAGTTGAGCTCCCCATAGCCTGGGCAGGGTTTGTAACATTGGAGCAATGCAGACCCACACCCCACCTCCAGGTGTAAAAACCCACCCAGACAACAGCCATGCAAACGAACCCTCCCAAGCACCGGCCTCCCTGGATGAAATTTCCCATGGGTTTTATACTACCAAATACAAAAGAGAAGGAAAATACAACCAAACCAACAAATAAAGTGCATTTCTCACAGCCTACGCTCTCAAAGCAGTCCTGGCGATATTTAGCCCTGACCTACAGCAAACGTGAGCTTTGAGGCTATTTCACCACAAGAGGACGAGACCTGCCACCCCCTGCAGCATCAGCTCCGAGTTTTCCAGCAAGAAAAACCCCGCAGAATTTCCCTGCTCCGCCGATACCCAAAACCAACACAGCCCTCCCCCCGGGCATCCCTGCGAACCGAGCCCCCAAGGGGAACGAGCCACCGACCTCTGCGCAGCGCGGCTTCCCTGGAGTCAGCCGGGATGGGCGACGAATGCGGCTACATGCTTAAATTGGGGGAGAAGCAGCCCCGGCGCCTCGGCGCGATGAGAGATTTCAATCCCCAGACGTCAGGAGGGATAAGGAAGGGGAGGGAGAGGGGCAGCGATTCCCCCACCTCCCTCTTCCCACGCAGCGGGGAGCAGCGCTTGGCCCCTCGGTGCAGCTAAATAAAGCGTGCACGGAAAGCAAGAGCCCTCTTCTGTGAAAAAACCTAAACAGCTTTTAGTCTTTTTGGTAAATAAATGCTAAATATGTGCCTAGGAAGCTGCACACTGATTTCCTGGAGCACAGCAACAAGTTGTGGCTCCCGCCCACCGCCAGACTCCCAGGGATGAAGTCAGCCCGGCCCCGTGCACATCCCATCACATATTTTGGAGAGCCCGGCGTTTGCACTGGAGGCAAGTTGCATTGTATTTGTTTAAGGAAATTAAGCACATCTGTAGGTTTTGCAAGGCCAGAGGCTGAATCATCAACTGGAGCTCGACTGCGCTGCAGACGTCCCAGCTGTGGGACACAGCCCTGACCTCCGACGAGACGCAGTCCCCAGGATGGGAGAGCTGGGGACCAGCTCCACACCACAACTTTTTTGGAATGATTTTGTCCCCATTGCCAGTAATGGAACAACTGATAGTGTCAATTCTGATTAGCAGTGGAGGCCAATCTTTCAGCTGTATCTCCAGGGACTGTCACCATCGCTCTCCCACTGCAACAGAGTGAGCTGCGAGAAATTCACAATTACAGAATCACAAAATCACAGAATATCAGGAGTTGGAAAGGACCTCGAAAGCTCATCCAGTCCAACCCCTGCCAGAGCAGCATCACCCAGACCAGGTCACACAGGAACACGTCCAGGCAGGTTTTGAATGTCTGCAGAGAAGGAGACTCCACAACCTCTCTGGGCAGCCTGGGCCATGCTCTGGCACCCTCACAGTAGAGAAGTTTTTCCTCACGTTCACATGGAACCTCCTATGCTTCAGGAGGATTTCTACAGGAAACACAGGCATCAAGTCAGATAGACAAAAAATAATCGTAGTTTTCAAATATTTTTTACACAATAAGCAAACATTTGATAGTTCCTCGCCACTTTACTTTATAATCTAGTAAGTATTTTAGAGCATCACAATATACTGGCAAAGGATAACACACAAAGTAAACACTTAAATCTTGTTGGGACAAAGCATAAAGTATTTGGTAGCCTGTGGAGAGAGGGTTAGAATCAGAATCATTATGGTTGGAAAAGACCTTTAAGATCATCAAGTCCAACCGCTAATTAACTCTACCATGTCCACTTCTAAACCATGTCCCTGAGCAGTGTATCTAGACAGCTTTTAAATACAACCAAGGATGGTCACTGCCCTACATGTAAATACCAGAAATCGGCTCTCCTGTAATTCC